GGGAGCGCGGCGCGCCCTTCCCCGGGGTGGACGCAGATGGCCGTCCCGAGGCCAGGTTTTCCTCCGGCCGGAGCCGTGGCCGGTGGCGCCGCGCGGGGCCGGGAGGCGCCGGCCTGTGATTGGCCGAGGCCGCCGTGAATGCAGGACATTGTCTGGTCGTGGCCGTCTCTGTCCCTGCCTGGCCGCCCTTTCCCGGATCAAAATGGGTGCGCAACGAGGGTCCCGGTCGGCTGCCCCCGCTCCCCGGGGTCCTTTCAATGTGGGGACCCTGGAGTGGGAAAAGAACTTTTGAGAACACAGCTTCTGAGAATGGCATAACGGTGCTGTTTCAAAATACAAAATCATCCTTAGCGAGAGAATGAAATCATTGTCTGATATAAGGATTCTTTTAAACGAAGATGAAAAATGCTAAGATGCTTGAAAAGGCCGTTATAATACAAAAATGGCTTAGCTTTGTCTTCAAGAGTCCTTCAGTTAGAACCCAGGATAAGTCATCTGAATGTCCATGGAAAACATTTTAAGTAACATTTACTATATACATGTATGTATGTATTTCTTGTTTCGGACAGTCCAGTCATTCTGAGTCTTTCCAAATGGAACACGCCAGGACAGAAAATCTTTCTAAGTTTGCTTCATTATTAAAATACTCTCATTCCGATTCTAGATGAAAAATCTTGATCTGTGCTATGTATTGGGTCATATCTGAAGGCTTTGGAATACCTGAGACCTTTTAAAGAGCCCTTGACGAAATGACAGTTCCCTTCAGATTATCTTCGAAAATATGTGGGAGTTTTCTAAGTGGGTTGTAGTTTCCGAGGAAAGTTAGAGCAGTGGAGAATGTGTGGAGATAAATCAATTATTAGTTCATCTAAAGAAGAGGATTTTCTTTTATCCTAAAATTTTTTTCTAGGTAATACAACATTGTAATAAAGAGCAGCCATCTTTCCTATAATATTTTGTTCCCAGTATCCAAGGAGTAGAAAGATGGCAGAGAAGAGAAGACACGCGTGAAATAAGAGATAACATTCAAGTAGACACTGTTTGGAGAGTTCAGAATAAAATGATCTTGCTGTTTGCTTTGTAAAACTGGTTCTGAAAAATTATGTACAGTTAAAAGCAGACTCCTGTTGATACAGATCTTTTAAGCTTCAGCTTCATACTTTCTTCAAAATTAAAAAAAAAAATCAGTGATTTCATTTAATTGGTAATCCACAAGAATTAGAGACTTGGAAATGACAACAAATGAAGGAAGGATAGCATCCAGAAGGGAAGATAAATTTAATGACATGATTCATGGCAAGAGACATGACCTCATTGCTTACTAGAGGGATTTCCACTAAACCAGATTTGATGTTAAATAAATTTATCTTGCAGACATTCCTCAAATTTATACTAATGTGCTACGTCTTGGGGTGGGGGGAGTGTAGAAAGGAAAGGTAAATGTTGTTGCAGCTTCTTCAAACAATAGTTGTTCTGGGTGCCTCCCCCTCACCAATTATGGGACTCAAAAAGCAGAAATCATCAGTGTAAGGGTTCTGGGTCTCCCTGGAAGTAAAACATAAATAGTTGTATAAGCAAAGCAAATTTAGTTTAAACTTCTAGCATTCAAATTGTTGACTTTTATACTGAAACTTAATTTTTAAAAGTTACTGAATAAATTTGGGGTGAACTAGCAGTTGGCATAATAGCTATGTCGCTGGACTCCCGTGTAGTCGACCACGGTTTGAGGCCCAGGCCTGGTGGCTTAAACTCACACCGGGCGCATGTGCGTGCGTGCCCAAGATCCTGAGAGGAGAATGGAGGAGAAGGGATTGTGGTGTGGCCATCCCCCCTGGGGGGTGATTTCTCACTTTCTCTCTCTCTGTCTCTCTCTGTCTGTCTGGCAAGTGCATGCGCCCTATAGCCAAAACCTCTAAAAAAAAATAGAAAGTTACTGAATAAATTAAAATTTAGGGACCAGCAGCTAGCATAATGGCTATGTCACTGGACTCCCACGTAGTCGACCACGGTTCGAGTCCTGGATCCAGTGGCTTAAACTCACACCGGGCGCATGTGCGTGCGTGCCCAAGATCCTGAGAGGAGAATGGAGGAGAAGGGATTGTGGTGTGGCCAGCCCCCCTGGGGGGTGATTTCTCACTTTCTCTCTCTCTGTCTCTCTCTCTGTCTGGCGAGCGCACGCGTCCTATAGCAAAAACCTCCCCCCCCCCCGAAAAAAAGAAAGAAATGAAATAAATTAAAATTTAGTGACTAAGCTTTGTGAAATCAAAATAAATTGTTTATAATAAGCACAAGTAGCAGGTAAAATATAGGCTATAAAATAGAAAAATACCTCAAAGGGGCCACCTTGTAGGGTTAACTGCTGTGTGGACGGAGTTAGGTTTCGCATGGTGAACTGCAGTTCAAATCCCAGGCAGGCAGTCTGAAAAACACACTAAGCATGTGTGGTGCCCCAAATCTTTATTATTATTTTTTTGGAGTGTGTGCTCACCAGAGAAAGAGAGAGAAGGAGAGAAAGAGAGAAGTCACTCCCTAGGGGGATGGCCACACCACAGTCCCTTCTTCATTTTCCTATCAGAATTTTGGGCAGCGCTCACACACACCCTGCATGATCCTCAGACTTGCTGGTCCTGGCCTCACTTCTGCAGTCAGCCATGTGGGATCCATCTTCAACCTCCAGTCCATCTGCTGACCCACAGCCCTACACATTTTTAACAGAACCCCCCCTTAGAATTTGCAAGTTCTGTCCTCTTTGGAGCAGACTTCGGCATGGACAGTGGGGATGGGTGAGTCTTCCCCTGCTGTGTCTTTCTGTCTCCTTCCACTCTCTCTTCCCCTCCTCTTCTCTCAGACACACTGCTTCATCGAAGCCCTCTAGCTGTGGCTGCATTCGTGGGCTCTGCTGGGCCAGTTCCAGAAAAGCTGTTGGTGCACTTGATTGGAAGGTGTTGGCTGAAGGCTCACAGGTCACCCAAGCCCTCAGAAGACAGAGAAGGGGGGACCAGCAGATTGGTGCAATGGTTATGCTGCTGGATTCCCACATAGTCAACCATGGTTTGAGTCCTGGACCCGGCAGCTTAAAACTCATGCCGGGAGCATGTGTATGCATGCCCAAAATTCCAAGAGGAGACTGGAGGAAAAGGAATTGGGGCATGGCCATCCCCCACCCGGAGGGGGGTGTGTGATGATTTCTCACTTTCAGTCTTTCTTTAGAAGGTGAGCACATGCGCCCTATAGCAAAAATCTCTTAAAAAAAAAAAAAAGTCTCATACGGTATGTGCGTGTGTATGCCCAAACAGAGGAGAATGGAAAAGAAGGAATTGCGGCATGGCCATCCCCTTGGGGGGTGATGTCTCCCTTTCTGTCTCTCCAGTAAGTGCTCATGCCCTATAGCAAAAATCTGTCAAAAAAAAGAGAGAGAGAGAAAAAAAAGACAGAGACAAGAGGAGAACCAAGAATATAACAGGAATTTAGGAATGGGGTGGGGGTGGGGGCGTTCAGTGGCATCTGTTGAGAAAAAGAATTATGCCTTTAAGACTTAATTTTTTCCCCCCAGGACCAGCAGTTGGCTAGACTTCCATGTGGCTGCAGTTCAAGTGCCAGACCTGGTGGCTTAAACTCACCCCAGGCGCGTGTGCATGCATGCCCGAGATCCTGAGAAGAGAATAGAGGAGAAGGGATTGCGATGTGGTCATCCCCCCAGGGGGGGGGGGGGTGACTTCTCACTTTCTGTCTTTCTCTCTCTCTGTCTTTCTGGCGAGCGCATGTGCCCTATAGCAAAAACCTCTCAAAACATTTTTTTTCTTTTTCTTTTCTTCTTTCTTTAATCTTTATCTTTGGCTGAAAAGTGGCACATTGTTGGGCCAGCAGGTGGCATGGCGATTAAGGCACATGGTCACCCACGGTTTGAGTCCTGGATCTGGTGGGTTGAAATTCACGCCAGACGCATGTGCATGTGTGCATGCCCAGACTCCTGAGAGGAGACTGGAGGAGGACTATGGTGTGGCCATCCCCCCGGGGGGTGATTTCCCATTTTTCCCTCCCACTGTCTCTGACTCTAGTGAGCACAGGTGCCCATCGGCAAAAACCTTTAAAAAGGAGAAAAAAAGAAGTGGCACGTGGCATGACAAACGAGTAGCTGTTCCCATTGCCTTGGTCTCCTCGGCTCTGGCTCTGCAGTCGCGGCCATGAGCGTGCTCTCGGCAACTCTGCCAGAGACCAGAGAGAAGGCGGGTAGTCGGGCTCAGCTCAGTCCCAGCTTTGCTCACAGTGCCTGTGTAAGGAGGGTAAAGAAACTGGAATTATTCTGAAGGGGATCAT